GGGGGGGTGGGGTGGGGATGGGGAGAGGAAGAAGGAAATGAATTGGTAAATTAAAGATATAGAATTTGTTGAAGCATATGCTTTTTCACAGTACAAGAATACCTCAGTAGCTGTCAGATTTTATCCCAAATGATATCATTCAAATAATTACACTAACACTCAAATGACTTGTAAAAGTATTTTTTTAGTATTTCATAAAGTCCAAATACAGTTACAAAAAATGTTAATACAGCTTGAAAATTTTTCTAGTTAATATCATCCCAAAAATGTTGCTTTCTTACTGGTAAGTCTCTGCTGGCTGCCATATTTCGTTAGAAATATTCTTCTGTATGGTACAGAACTGCACTTGTGAGATAGTATTAAACAGTTATATGATTTGTAGTTCTATGAAAAAGCTAAAAATACAGGGAAAAGAGCAAATCTACTTAGTACACTGGAATTGACTGTAGAAGGACAAGTGCATTTTGACAGTCACCAAAGATGCCCTTCCCTGACAGGTGGATCCATCAGCCCTGAACAGACCAGGTTTCTTTACTGAGTCTCACACTATTCAAGGATGCCAGTCAACTCATGTTGACCAGTTGAGACTTGCAAAAAGAATTGGAGGAGGCAAACCAAGACAGCTGTGGGAACAGCATTGCACTGGGTAGTATTTGCACTGAGTGCATTGCACAGATGTAGTATTTAACTATTTTCTAGTAAGTACTAGCTGTACCTATAGTTTCTTATTAGATGAAAGTACAAGCATAGACAGATCGTTGAGGGGAAAAAAGCTAATCCAAACAATATAAAAGGCTTTCCTCTAATACTACCAAAATCATGTGACACAGTATGTAAAACCTGAGACAACGTGAGTAAAAACTGGGCAAATACAGGTATTTTGCATTTTCAGGTGAGGCACTGTGGAGCTCACAACTCTCACTAGACATTAGAAGTAATCAAGCTGCAGACAACCAGGATATGCAGTGAAATAATTTTGCATTCCAGATGCAAGCCTCCAGCTCAGAAAGTCTCCAAAATACTGATTTTTAAAAGCAGGGAGAGTATAAAAAGGAGCAATTGCTTCAGTAAGCACCTTGTTTTTACTTTTTTCATAAGCACTTGTTACAGTTTGCCATCAGAATAGAAAGTATATCTAACTGGGTATTTTGTTTCACTTGCTGGGCATCCCTCTCACATATTCATGAGTATTCTTCTTTCTGCTGAAGCATGCATCAAGCAAAAGGATATTAAGTAAGAACAAAAACACACATACATAATCTTTTCCTAATTAAAAAGCTATGTAGATGCTCAGAAACACTACTGAGAGATCTTGCATTGTTTGTGCTAAGTGTAAATTATCCCCAAACAATTGTCAGTACATGCCTGCTTACTCATGATTCCACATTCATGTTTCCAATACCTAATATATCATTTCCCAAATATTTCAAAATATTTTAAAGTTACCTTGATATAAGAAAGTGCATCAAACATTTCTTCAATTTGCTCTGAAGACTGAACAGCAGAGGAGACTGGATGTGAAGAATTCAAGGAATCCTTCATCATAGCCTTGAAAATTAAATTAAGGAAATCTTCATCCTAGAAAGGAAAAAACGTAAGTGAGAAGCTTGAACACATAGCAGAACAGTAAAAGTGGTCTCTGTATTGCTCTCCCATTGGCCTAACATGCCATTGCTCACCTTCCTGCCAGTGGAGGTAGCAAAAGATTTGTCAGGGTAGCACTTATAAAATCATTATCAATCATTTCAAATCTATTTAAAATAAAAATCATTATAAATCTATTTATAAAATCATTTATAAAATCATTTCAGCAGTGGAATCTCACTCCTGAGTTTGCATTGTTATCCAAACTCCTGTTTCAGGTAAATGCATCATTGGCATTAGAGAAAATTAATGTACCTACTAAGTAAGTATGTGTCCAATTTCAAATTTGGCTCACCGACGTTTTCAATTCATTTACAGGAAACAGGGAATACAAAATCATTACTTCTTTAGTATGCTTTAATATTGAGGCATGAAGTCTGGTGAAATTACTCACTATAGTGTTATTTGTGAGAATGTAAAACACCATCTTCTCTAGTGATCCTAGTAACAGTCTTTTCCTTCTTTTCTTCTAGAATTAAGATATTTCAATTGAATACATTGTTACCAGAACACTGCAATCCCAAACACTCAAAAGAAGGTGACTGCACTGGTATTTGTCAATTTAATTTCACTGAGACCTGAGCAAACAATCCTCTATACGGTTACCTCTACAGAGTAGAGAGTTGTGTATGATACAATAAAAATACACTTTACAATTTAAAATGTTAAAGCCATTCTTCTTGAATGCAGAAGTCCTGAGTGATTTGGGGTTTTTTTGTTACTTTTACAAAAACACATTTTTGGCATCACCAAGTGGTAAAATCAGATGTTCATGAGGGCACCTTGCCAGGTACCTTTCAAAACAAAGTATACAAGTGTTAGATGCGTTCTTGTTAAAACATTAGACTAGTATTTTTGTCCTCCCATCACCACATATTCACATCCCACAAACATACTTTCAATGGGCATCAAACTGAACAACCAAGCTAGGCCAAATGAAAATTTTTTTAAACACCCAGTTCCAAGAAAGAATTCTACCAAACCAAATTAGTAGCCCAATTTTCTTAACGCAGCAACAAGGATGACTTAAGAACTAAAACTCACGCTCAGTCAGAATGCTGAGAAGAAAACAATCCAGCAAGCAGAACATGGTACATGTCAGGTTTTTAATCCCATGACAAACACCCCTGGAAGCTGATTCCAGAGCCCTCCTCTCCTAGGAGATACCTTTACCCAGGATGCAAAATTAGTCTCTCCACTGCTCCCTCCCTTTATCTCTGCTAATCTTTGTTTCTCTGCCTTCATTCAGTGACAGAGATGCTTTACAGCAGTAGCTGGTATCCCTTCCTTAGAGAGAAAAAGATCAAGCTCGAATCCTTCATGTCTTCCAGCGTTTGAAAAGCTAGGTCGCTTAGTACCTGAGTACCTTCCTTCAGCCATATGTGCAAACACAAGCGCCAGTGGGAGCAGTGCTTTGTATTATTTGTGTAACTCAAGGCTTTCAGAATCCATTAGGTGGGACCATATGTTACTTTTATACCAGATCCCCTGATTTGTGAATCTCAAACTGATTCAGACAGAAGCAAGTACCACAATGATGGAAAGACAGAAATTAGTGTAGTAATACTTAGCAACCTGAAGCTCTGTTGCTTCTTATGTCTACTAGTAAAAAAAGGGTACTACTTTCCTAGTAGTCTACTAGGAAAAATACTTGCTCAATGATATGCCTGGACTTTCTGTGTAAAGATTTTAAGTTATAATTTGATATATAGACACCTACATGTTTTAACACCTGCTGTCCTGCACGGAACACTTTAACCTACACAAAACACATAGGCTGCATGTAGACTACTACCAAAACAAAACAAAAAACAAAACACAAACACAAAACTAGCATACCCAAAGCCCACCTCCCAAACCACTTCCAGTATAATGAAACTGCTAAAGTAGAGGAGATACTGTATAACCTCAATGGCACCCAAAGGGAATTTCAGTATAGATTTGTAAGTACCAGTCCTTTATGGGCAGCATTAAAACATAGATCATACTGAGGGTACAGTAAATGTAGTTACAGAAAGTACTTACTGAATGTAATTCTGGAAAAATCTCCTCCATGGCAAAGTACTCCATGAAAGTGGCAAATCCCTCATTCAGCCAGAGGTCATTCCACCATTCCATAGTTACAAGATTGCCAAACCACTGCAAAAGACCAAAAATACATTTCTTTTTTCATAAATAAAATCAGATTAGTACAGTAACACCTCATCCGTCCTTAGCTTTATCTTGTGGCAAAATCAAGTTCAGCCACAACCACAGGAATAATTTTGCATGAACAACTCCCTAAGTACATCAGGCAGAGTTGCACCCCACCTGCTGTACTGGAAGGAAATACACCCACTGATATTTTCAACAGATACAACGTACAACCCAGTCACAGTGAGGACAGGGGTGAGTTTAAGGACAAAATTACATTAAAAAAAATAAAATAAAATAACCCACCACATTTAAACAATGACCTCCCCAATCTAGTACCTGGTGGGCAAGCTCATGTGCTATCACTGCAGTTATTAATTTTTTATCCCTTGCTGAAGAAGTATTACTGTCAAACAACAGTGTTGATTCTCGGAAGGTGATCAGGCCCCAGTTTTCCATTGCACCAGACTGAAAATCAGGAATTGCTACCAAATCTGGAAAAGATTTGAGAAAAGCTCTTGAAAAATCCTAGTTAGAGAAGTTATGTATTTCAAAGCTACCTGTTCTATTCGATAATCCCTGGAAACCTCATTATTTAAAACCTGTGGTGTGGACGTGTGCTCACATCTCAAGCGGCACAGAAGCCCCATAGACTTACAGCTGTGTTTCTCTAGCAGTACTCTTACACAAACTTAAAGCACTATACAGACACTGCCTTTAGACCTTGCACTAACAACTAATGAGGAAATGGGGCTGCCCCTACTGAAAGCAGCGGTTCAATTATCTTTTCAGTCAAACTAACACATGCAGAGAAGTCAGGGTGCAGATTTTGCACTAGTGAACATGATTCCCTGATTGAGAATTCTGTATCTCCCTACCAAGGCACATGATAACAAATTTACACCGATTGCTTTCATGTTATGTACAATTATAAGCAATCCAGTGTCAAAAGCTCATAAAAAAAAAATCCAGCTTGGAAATCACTTAATGATCATACATACACACATAATTTTTTTTTTTTAAGTAATTTAGAGGGAACCTTATTTCACAATTTTCATGTGACAAGGACTTACCTAATTTTTCAAGAGGGTAGCTTATTAAAAAGTAATTTTGATAAAATTCCAGAAGTTTCACTGATGTGTCTAAGGCATACTCAACTTGGTTTAGATGCTGTGGTATGGCATAGACAGATACCTAGTCCAAACAGAAAAAAAAGATTCTGAAATATATAGCTACAAAAGCTTTAGAAGTAAAAAAGAAGCTTGCAGAAGTTCCTGAAACAGATAGGACAGTTTTGGGAGTACACAAGTCAGTTATAAATAGTAGTTATAAAGCTGCCAAAGAAGAGTTAATTTTTTTGCTAAAGCTAGTCAAAATACAGACAGACTATCCAGGTGACCGATGCGCATATGTGAGAACAATTCAATGCTGACACCTTTAAGGAAAGCATTCATGAAGTACTAAATGAACACAGACTGATCCATTTCCTTTTCCACTCCCTCATGAGCTAAGTGACACTCCCTGCATACCTCAATTAGTCTGTAAATTGAGTCTATCAGTACGGTAACACTAGCATCACCTGCAAGAAATTCTGCCAAGAAATAATAACTGGCAAAAGTTAATCCATTTTCCTACCTAAAGTAGGGCCACATTAGACCTGATGTAAGAAGTATTCATAAAAATTGAGAGATTACAGCCTCCCTTTAGTCACACTGAAGTGGCTATATCAAGAACATAACCTCAATTAGGTTACAGGCTGATCCAGGTTTAGGATGCCCTTTTATACACAAACAAAAAATACGTTGAGATTAATTTTCCTATTCTCTCAAAAAAAAACCCTCCTTCGTACTATGCTACAAATCAGTGAACAAACGACATTTCAAATAGATAGATAGGGTGATCTTTTAATTCTTGAGTTTGAACCAGTAAGGACAAAATCTAGTGTTTCTGGAAATGTGCTCTTAGCTGCAAATTTTAAGATCAAAATCAAACGATCTTCTGGAATGCTTAGACTTCAACTCTAAGCTATTTTATAATGTATAAGACAATAAGCTTACTCTGCATGAACCGCTTAGCTCAAACCTTTGAATCTCCCAGCCGAAACTGCTGGACACATTCTGAGAAAATGTCATTATATGCTTCCTTCTTACAATTTTCCTTCGCCTACTAGATGCTGTTGGCAACAGAACAACATACTAGCTAGACTTTGGCCTTACTTGGTATAACCATTCTTACGCTTTCTCCCTTTAAGCTGGCAAGTACTCTCAGATACTGCTAAATCCCTTGCGTTTGGTGCTTTCTAAAGGTCTGCTGGACTTCTCTAGCTCAGCCAAGTCTTGCTTGGTGGTCAGAATGGAAGGAGAAGCACAGTTAAGAACTTTTTTCCTTAGTTAGTACACATCACACAGTCCTTTTCTCCTGTCCTACATGCCTCTGCCCTAAAATACTTCAGAAGTACTGACAATCCATGCAAATTACTCTTAGTCTTATGAACAAAGCAAAACACACCTCATAGGTAGTTGTTTGTGGCTCTGCAAACAAAAAACATTTAATATACTCATCAGTTTTATGCCCTGTAAAGAACTGGCTATATGGTTTTACCAGACTACAGTTTCAAATACACACCTGAATGGCAGCCACAAGGTGGGCGTTGGAGGGGGAATAAAAAAAGTAGTGGTCTAACTTTACAGGTTAGATCAAACAGTCTGTCGTATTCAGCTATAATTAGAAATACTTGTCCAAGCCAGAATCAAAGCTTATCAACCAGTATCTTTACTTGTGTATACTGGATTAAACAGAGGGCTGCTTCTCCTTCTCAGTGTTACTAGCAGTATTCCCCCTGCTCTTTCTAGGCAGGTACTGGCACTTCCGATATTTCACGAGGAAGGGCCAGTTTCTGTAAGAGAGTCATGAAAATCATTGCTCACATGAAACTCCTGCACCTCCTAATATTAAAATGCTTTTTCTTTAGTTACTCTAATTGCACACATCGTAGGAACTGCTCACTGACCCTGCAAGCCATATCCCCACGAAGGGCAAAGATCAAACAGGACCAACTGTTTGATTTTTTCAACCTTTCAAAAACAAAAGCCTCACAATGAAATAATTGCATTCAGGTGACTAAATGCAGACATACATAAACTTAATCTGTTTGCTTCACTGCAGGGCATGGCTTTGTTCTGGGGTTTTTTTAGTAGGTTATCTTTGCAGGTATAGAACACACTTGCAGCTTGAAAATAATATGTATGCTTCCCTGGTAACTGTAATGTTTCTGTACATCATCTGAACAACTCCTGGTTTTCATGACATTACTCCCTCACAGGTGAGCATTAAAACTAAAAGTTTAGAGCATTCAACTCTGACAGCTTTTAAGAATTTTAGATTTTGTAAATTTCCACTGTTAACGAGACCTGCTGCCGGTCCCTTACTGGAACAGTCTTCTCAATCTGGTATAAGAACTGAAGTCAGTCCAGCCTATAGCATATGGCTTTTTCCTCCTATACTATGGTGAGTATAATAAAAGCAAGAAAATAAACTCAAAAGAGACAAAGTTTGATTGTGGGTTACTGATTTCTTATGTTGTTTCAATTGGCTAGTTGACTTGAGAGGGGTGAGGGAGAACTTAAAATGCAACAAACATACCAGACTCGCATTAGTTTGCCTACTAATGTTTTTCAAGTCTGCAACAACAAAGGCTACCAGGTAGGTGCTCATCTTCAAACTCACAAAAAACTCATCTTGAACAATTCCATTTGCCACAGGAGTAGTAGCTTTCTGCAGGTGAAAGGAAAATTGTTATTAATGCAGACAAAAGAACATTATGACATGCAAGGAAACAATGTTAAATAAAAACAGAAAAACAAAAAAATAAAATTTAATTTAGTTCACACTTCAACCCCCTGTATAATCCAAAATCTACATAAAGGTTAGCATTAATTCAAGAGGGCTTTAAGCTAGAGCAGAGACACAGTTCAGCATAGCCTACTAAAAACAGCAGCATTGCATGAGTTAAACATTTGTCTTTTCCCAGAAGCCTTTTCAAAACCAGGTAACCAGACAAACTCACTATTTTAAAACAGCAGAACAAAAAGACACTCACAGACACATTTATAAAAGAAAAGAGATTGCATTTTTAAAAGTTAAGAAAACCTAAGGTTTCTGTTAATTTAAAGCAAAAACTTGACCAGTTTAAAAACACACTGCCAAATATAACTATCTGCTCAGTCTTCTGAAGTAAGATACCATGGTGTATCCTAAGTTACATTTCGTGTAGAAATTTTTCTTTAATATTAGTCCTGGAAATGCACACTATATGCCTTAAATTACTTTTCTGTGTAGTCCTTCACAAGCACAAATTACATAAAGAATAAAGCAAAATGTTTAAAACCAATGTAGTGCAGAATAGTAAAGGTCTGGAGGCAGAGATGGCAGTTCACATGACTTCTTAAACTTCATAAACAAACTTGCTTCCAGAAATCACAAATATATAAAAAACAACAAAAATAACCTTAGTTTTAGACATGGTCATTTCAAACCAAACGACGATTTAACATTTAACTGCCACAGAAAATTTAGTTGTCAACCTTAAAGAGGAATAGATTTTTAAGCCTGAAGACATAATCGGTATAAGAATCTAGCCTGACCACTGCATATAACAGAATGCCACCACTGAATTTCTTCAGCAAACTCAAAATTTCTGCATTTACTACAGCTTAATCTTCATAAAGAGATGATACCCTGTTTAAGAAAATACACTGTGGCTGCAGATAAACTGGTTCAAAAATCACTTATCCTCATTAAAAAAAAAAAAAAAAAAAACAACAAAAAAAAAAACGGAAGTAATAGTTGACAACAAACAAACAAAAAACCCCCTAACAAAACCACAACAAAAAACACCACGAGCCCCAAACTTGCACAGTTTATTTCTAGCTTTAATGTGTGTCAGCCACTACATATTGATATCTCAGCAATGTACAGGCTAGTTGAGAAGGCCTGCCTCAAAGATCTGTTGCTCATGTAGGTATTTATAGCAAATGAAGGTCACATTTAACCTTCTCACGGCTAAATAAAAAAGTCTCTCCATTCAGCACAGCTTATATACCAAGAACTGTAGTTATTACAGAAGTATCTGTACCACTTTTTTTTTCCCTAACAGGGGTTTAAGTGTTTATTTTCAGAAGCAAACCTATCCCAGTAACGATCTCACCAAACCAATACAGTTCTATACAACACAACACTCAATTTTCACATTTCTTTCTTTATTCATAAAAGAATCAACTCACTAGCCTGTACATATTGCATAGGGAGACCACAGTATGTAAGAGAATACCTAATCCAGGCTATGTCTAAAATGTAAGAATTCAGCATGTGCTAAAGCTCTTGGGAGATCAAAAAACCCCAAAGAAATAAATCATAAAACCATGCCACTTAAAAGAAGATTTACATATACAAATAGGTACCATTAAAAAAACCCCTCACGGATACAAGGAATAAATAGCGTTGTGCTGATGTAACATAATACTTCACAGAAACTTTTGTCTAATTTCTTTATCTATACAGTTAAAAAAGAAGTTTTTTATTGTAATTCACACGTGCAAGTTATCTGGACAACTTACAAAAACAAAGGAACTACTTTTGAACCCATTAAGAGACTGAATGCTTGGACCTATGTACAACAAAATAGGAATTATATGGTATCCAATTATCATGGGATAGATTTGGAGGACAAAACAAAAATAACATTGTTTGCAGTATAAGCACAAATGAGTAATTATCTTGGAGATGCTGCCCATTAGGAAAATCATCAATTCACTTTCTCTATATGTTTCTATATCTTCTTGATAAATTCTAATTAAACCTGACCTATTTTTTTGACACAAGAACTCACATTTGATCCCCAGCACTAAACACACAACTTCATTGCTTTTAATGTCTTTTTCTAATACTATCTTTATTCCACATCCAGAAGCTTTCTCGATCTTTATCAGACATGCAGATGATATAACAGCCTGGTTTTTTTCAGATTTAATTCACGTTTCGTGAGGTGGGAGAGTTAGCTATTTCCATCTAATTAGAAGAAGATTCTCTGGTAATAAATAATAACTCACTAAACAAGAAATACAGAGTTGCCCTTTCAGACATGTTTGCTGGACTCAAGTTACAATTCCTGGCAACACAGAGCTTGGGCTTCTCTGCAGATTCTCTCAGGAAGGCTGAAAAGCCTGCTCGTACCTCCGAGTGAACACTCAGTGTTCACTACATCGTGACCCACTTGCATAGTTTGCAAGAAGACACAATCTGAAATGTCACAGTCTTGCCCAATGCCACAAACACAGGCACCGCATTTTCCCAAGTGACGTCTTCCTGTACATGCAAAGTTAATTAACACCTCTCACAAAAGACAGAAAATCTGGATGAAATCATAGGAGAAAGGAAAGTGATGGAGGGTCTAGGTTAAATGATTCAACAAAACACTTACTGAGGAAGGCACCTTGGAGGTGCTGCACAACCACATGTGGTAGAAAAAAGAAGAAAAGGAAGTAGACACATGTGCATGCTACCATGAGGGATCTTACCCTCTTGCTTATTCTCCTGGAGAAGTCTAGTACCACAATGGGCATTAGCAGACACACTAAGGGACAGCAGGCAGGTAACTGCTACCAAAGTAATAGCACCTATCAACCACCAGAAACACCCTCCAATGAGTTTCCATTCACTGATAAACAGTAATAATGTTTTGATGAAAGACAACCTAGTTAAGACACAGATTAGGTAAGAATTTAGTCTTGCTGGTCTGTCTAAATGAATTAGGCTTCCAAAAAGCTGTGTCAAAAGGTTTAACGTCATAAAGCATCACCATAAAATTCAGATACGCTCTCACAAGATTTTGTATGAAAAGATCTATCTGAAGGAATTTCAGATCCCTCATCCATATTCTGGGGTTGACACTGTATTCACATCTCACTTCTTGTTGTAGGCTCAAATGCACATCCTTCAAGGTGAGGCATACCTTTCACCAATACTGTTGCTAGACACAAAGTATTGGTAAAGATATTCCAGTATTCTGCACATGAGGAGTATCAACACACACAGAAAACTCAAAGCTGAATCTTAAGGTCTGCTGAGACTGTTGTAGCTAACAACAAAATTCCTGCAAAATAACCATTCATGTAAATGTAACAGGAATCCCTGCCATAGCCATTCAACATCCTACAATAATAGCCCTACAACAACATCCTACACTGTGCAGTGCATTGCACAGTTTTATCTACAAAGTTACTTAGTTCAAACATTTGAGAAAGAGATAGATTTTTTTTATAAAGTCACAGAGTTTATAGCTTATCTGCTCAAGTCAATATCCTGAGCATTAATGCAGCAGAACACAAAGCAAAGCACTTAAACAGATTACCTAGGCAGCTGCTGTACTAAAATTTCTCTACAAAAGCAGGTACCTTTGGCATATTTGACAGAGTGGAAAGTTTCTCATCTCTCTTGATCTTGATTAAAAAAGTAGCTTTAAATGCTGGTTCATCAAAGCATGGAAAAGCAGATCGTGCTGCCACAGGTTCAAACTGAGTTGCTGCAAACCACCTAACAGGAAGAGTAGAGAAGAGCAAATTAAGAATTATGAAAAGGATAATGTCAGTTTATTTATGATAGAACAGTCATTTGCCCTCAAAACTCATAAGTTTGTTACGGGAGTAGCTTTCTGTCAGGTGGTCCTGGCCTGACCCATACTGCTTTTTCCATCTTTCATTTATTGCACCACTCTGTTTCCAGTAAACATGCATGAACAAGTGTGTGCCAAAGGCATGAACATTCTTTAAGTACATGACCAGTGTTAAGACTCATTCAAAGTGGGGGTGAGGGGTGGCAATTTCATTAATCTTACTGGTAAAAACAACTGATTTACCCTTTTTAAAACTGGGTGTGATGTTTCCCTTTTCTCCAGTCACTGAGGACTTCATGACTAACATGACAATTGAGAGTGGCTTGGCAACTACACCTGCCATCTCCCTTATGACTATGGGATGCACCTCTTTGGGTCCCATGGACTGGTGTATGTTCAGGTTCCTCAAATAGTCTCACATCTGATCTTCTCCTACAATGATGGGACTTTGTTCCCTCAGTCCCTTGAGACTCAGGGACTGGGGAGATTTGGGAAGAATTTCCAGGGAGAAACTAAAAATAAATCAAACAAAAAGCCACATTATAACTACCTACAACCTACTGCAGTATATTTAACTGACAGAGAAGCCATGCTGACTTAATAAACTCATCCATCAAAGACATTTTTTCAGGTTGATTAATCAGGAGATTAAAGATGGATTTTGCTCAATAGGAATCAGTTGTACAAAACATTCAATAGAAAAAGCAATCCTCGTTATTTCTATTATTATGAAAGCACAATCTAGAAGTGGCAGAAGAGGGAAGCTGCATTTGTTGGCATACCTTTGCTTGGAATTCTCATCCTTGTAAGAAATTTTGTAAAAGCCATAATAGGTATCTGATAAATTAGAAGAATATTCTATGTTGACAGTATAATTCTGTCCTACAAGGAGAGCTTCAGGAGCCATGACTGCAATCTGGTCATGCAAAGGATATTCCAGGAATTCAGCTGGCTTTTCTTGATGCCCTCCTGCGGAAGTAATAGTTGCCTTGGTGATATTAAGTCCTGAGCTGTGGAGCACAATCTTCCAAGTTACCTGGATGATGTTAACCACTATCTTTACAGAGCCTGAAAATTTCAGAGTAGTTAGGTTTGGTTGCAAGACAAGATCATAATGCAGTGGTACAACATCAGAAGGAAGTCTAATTTTTGCCCATGGAAATAGTTTTCCATTGGTTGCCAAAGGGTATATTAGTTCCATCGTATGATTTTTTTTATGGCAGCCTTCTTTGGTAAAGGTACATTTGGGAAGAAGATAAATCAGCATTATTAATGCAACTGCAATCACAAGAATAACTGTGCAAACCACCATGGTCCTTGTAGAGGGCAGTGAACATGATCCGTTTGAACTTTGCCTATAGACAGACATGTTGTTCCGGAGACTGGAGCTTCTGTTCATGAAGGACATCCCCAGCAATTTTGCTGATGACTCATAATCCTCTTCATCATCATCCATTTCATGCTCTCCAAGGCCACGCACCAACAGCCGTGAGCTCCTTGGCTCATATTCCACTTCATCAGGCTCCAGGGGATGTAAACAAGGCTCTTTTGCCAAGTCAACAACGTCAGGTTCTTCTTCGAACATGCTGTTTTCAATCATATTCCTGGGTAACTGAATTTGATCTGAAAAAGACAATACGTTACATGATAAACAAAAGTTGTGGTTATAATACCTCAGATACAGTTTACTGAATTACTGAATGGGAAACGCTTTTACAGAACATGCAATCAAGAGCTCACCCATTTTCTCTCTCAGGTTTGTTTCTAGAAAACCTTTCTGTGCTTTTCTGCCTATCATAATTTTTCATTCAGTATCTTCAAAAGATGCTTCCGTTGCGCATACTCAATCACGTCTTGCACCATAACCAGGGATCAGCTATACTACGGCATAGCACTCCCAGTTAGAATCATAGAATGGTTTGGGTGGTAAAGGACCTTAAGATCATCCAGCTCCAACACCCCTGTCCTTGTCCCCCAGATAGGGCACCTTCCACTAGACCAGGTTGCCCAAAGCCCCATCCAACCTGGCCTTGAACACTGCCAGGGATGGAGCATCTACTGCTTCTTTGGGCAACCAGTTCCAGCGTCTCACCACCCTCACTGTAAAGAACTTACCCTTGTATCTAGCCTGAACTTCCCATTTAAGTTTAAACCTATTACCCCTTGTCCTGTCACTACAGTCCCTGATGAAGGCTCCCTCCCCAGCATCCTTGTAGGCCCCCTTCAGATACTGGAAGGCTGCTATGAGGCCTCCACGCAGCTTCTCTTCTCCAGGCTGAACAGCCCCAACTTTCTCAGCCTGTCTTCATATGGGACGTGCTCCAGCCCCTTATCATCCTCATTCATTGATGCCAGTGTCTTGGCTACATTATTTCTACCCCAGTAAACTACATTTGTATTCAACTAAATTAGTCAAGATGGAATATTCTTTCAGTTGCAGGATAAAACATAGGCAGCCAATACAGTTTTAGATGAGTTTCTAATAGTTAATGAGTTCTTTAATAAAGGACAAAATCTGTCCATGTGCTGGCAGCTACACAAGTAAAATATCCATTTGACATTTTTAATAATTTTTTACACATACCCCCAAAAAAGATGAAAAATAGTTCTCAAAAATGGCAATATAAAAATTACTGTTCCAATAGATGCCTTCTCACACAACCCTTGAAAAATACATGGAGGTAAAAAGTTAAATCAGTGCCAATCAGACTTTGTCTCCACAAAAATTGCCCTTGATGGATAACATTACTGAACATGAAAGAAAAACTGAAATTCATACAAAATTTTATAAGTATCAGATACTTTCATATTCCACATGCAGTTATAATTTAAACAAGCTTCTGGTCATGTCTAGAACTGTTTATATAAAAGTTTATCTTTCAACTAACCTACTGAGAAGTGGAAAAAATTAAAAGCACTCTTGGAAATTAATATTGGACATGGACATTCAAAAGTAGCTGACTACAGAGCAAGGTACTTTTTTCATACTGTATTTAATACGAAGTACTATAAACAACATAGAAATGATGTTAACTGGCTTTTGTCAGGGCACCACAGAGTGGTCTAGAGAACAAAACAACTCAAATGCAAAAGCCCAAGAAATCCCACTACCCCAGTGGTTTAGGGCCTTGACATTACAGTTAATTTGAGCTAGTTCCCTCTCACAGCTTCTAAGGGACTAGACAAAACTCTTGTCTGACTGCAAGGCTTCAGAAATTAAGCTGATCTCTTCCAGACATGAAGGTCTACTTATAATCGAACAATTACCACATCACACCTCTATCCTCCATCTTTTATATTCCCAGAATGAGAAAGATAAATTCTTCTTTTGATTTAAACATACTGAAAAGTAGGTTGATTTTCATTGATTTCTGATAAAAATGTACATTTTTCCAATCTATATAGAACCTAAATAGTATCAGTGCTCCCATAATACATTAGTGATTTTATCTATATGGCTAAACTCCCATCCAATAACTGAGGATATTATATAGAAATAAATAACATTAATAATTTCAGGAATATAACTATATACAGCTGCTGAATAGAATTTAAGATGTTGAAACAGACTAACATAAGATACTGGGAGGGTAAAGACTTGTGGGTCAGC